TTTTTGTCTTTTTGAGACAGGGTCTTGCTATGCTATATAGTTCAGGCTGGCCTTGAGCTCACTTTGTAGCCCAGGCTGGTCTTGAACTTGGAATATCCAATCCTTGTGCCTCAGTCTCCTGAGTGCTGGGATTACAGGCATGTGCCACCATGCCCAACCTAATTTTGAAAGATAGTTTTGCAGGGTACATTAATCTGGGTTGGAAATTGTTTTCCCTCAGGACTCCAACTTCACTCCAATCTGTTCCTGACTTAAGGGTTTATGTTGAGAAGTCTGCTGTGATTCTGTGTTTAGGAGGTTCTTGGTATGTATGTGTCCCAAACCCTACCTTTCCAATTAATTGAGAGTGAGATGTTGGTATTCTTTTGGCTCAGTCCCCTGTCTCTTGGTGTAGGGGTGTGGTGAGGTTTTAACCTAGAGCTTCCCAGTATTGTTGCAGAAGAAAGAACAATTGATAACACCAGATATGAGGTTGTAGCTAAAATAGTACAACTAGCAATAACTATAGCATCGGGCTGGTGAGATGGCTCAGTGGTCTAAAGCACCTACTTAAGAATAACCTAAGCTGAGCAAAGCATGGGGACCGCGGTTCAATCCCCCAGCACCACATGCCAGCCAGCCCCGCCCCCTGGTGGGCTGAGCTGGCCACACACAGACACAAAATAAAAAAATAAATAAATAAATAAATAAAAAAATAAAAAAAAATAACTATAGCATCAAGCACAATTTAGAAATTGACAAAGTGTGGTAACTATTGATTTTGTACTATAGACCAAAGGGGCATGTCCATAGTTATATAATGAAATTGATTGTAAATTAGGAGTGTGTATGCAAAGTGTATGCAAAGTGTTTTCTCTTGGTAGAGAGGATTACCCTGCAGTAGAGAAATTTAGGGAGGATGGTGTATAAGCTAAAGGTGACTGGACGGGAAGTAGAAGTAAGGCTGGAGGACAAAGGTCAGTCACGTAAGGTGTGGGAACGTAGCTAAGGGGATAGAAAAGAAAGAATGAAGCCATATTCAAGGGATTATCTGAACTTGGTCTTGGCTTTTAGAGATGGGATTAGAAGAAAAAAAGAAAAGGGAAAAGGAAAAGAAAGTAAGATAAAATAAAATGAACTTATATTTTTAAAAAAAGAGAAAGAAGAGGGGCAGTCCCCCACAGCCATTTCTGTTCCATGTGTCTTTGTCCCCAAGCACAGCGCTGGTTCACCTAACTTGCCACCTGTTGGCTTATATTTCGGACTATCCCACCTCGCTAGTCCTGCCTGGCCACAATGTGCATCCTAGCCCAGGTCCTGCGGGGTGGCTGGTGTCCTGCGGTGTAAGGGAGAGGCCAGGCACCCGAGTTCCTCTGGCCCGCCTATTGTTGAGTCCTGGTGCTTCTTTCCCTCTTTTATTCTTGTTGCTTTTGTGGGCTCAGTGTCTCTCTCTCTCTCTCTCTCTCTCTCTCTCTCTCTCTCTTCTTTTCTTTTTCTTTGTGTACTGGGAATTGAACCCAGGACTCAGGACCTTGTGCTTGCCAGCCTGCTCTTGTGCTACTGCTGTGCTAAGCCTGCTTTTGCTGTCTTCCTGCCACCTTGACGTGTTGGCCCTCGCCACGCCACCCTGCCTTGGAGACAGCTGATGAAGGACTGAAACCTCCACAAACTGTGCACAAAATAAACCTTTTCTTCCTTAATTTTGTGCTGTTGGGTATTTTGTCTGAGCCAGGAGAGAAAAGTAAGCAAGACTGCGAGACTTGGGGGCCGGGGAGATGGCTCAGTAGAAAAAGCGCTTCCCTGGCAAGTGCAAGAGCCTGAGTTCAACACCCGGTTCCACAAAAAAAAGGAAAAGAAATGTGTGACTGTGTGACTTTGTATCAAAATAAAAAAGAGGGCTGACTGCCTGGCCACCCGGCGCAGCAGGTGGGGGATCAAACCCCTGCCCCCTGAATTGACCTAAGCAGACGCTTTAATCCACTGGACTATCTGGCTGACCCTTATACTTTTTTTTTTTTTTTTTTTTTAAGAACCAAGGATTGAACTCAGGTCCCTGTGCTTGCCAGGGAAGCTTTTTTTTGAGAGTCTTGCTGTGCAGTTTAGGCTGGCCTCAAACTCAAAGCAACCCTCTTGCCTCAGCCTCCCAAGCGCTGGGATTATAGATGTGGACCACCATTTCCAGCCTTTGAGTCTCTTCACTTTTGTAATGGTTGTATCTCTGCAGGATAAATTTCTAGAAGAAGAATTTCCAGGTTGAGGCTTAGCGTGGTGGCGCACACCTCTAATCAGAGCACTCTGAGAGGCGGCAGCAGGAGGATCCATTGCGAGTTCAAACCCAGCCTGCCTGCACAACTCAGTGCCTTAGTGAGCCCCAGGCTCAAAGTAAAAAGTCGTTTAAAAGGTGAGGGGATACAATTGTAGCTCAGTGCAAAGGCCTTAAATTCAATTCCTATAACACACACATACACATTCTCGAAAGAATTTCCAAGTCCAAAATTAGGGGCTTTGGCGAGAGATATAGCTCAGTGGCACAAGCACCTGCCTGGCAAGTACAAGGTCCTGAGTTCAATTCCTGGTACCCACATGAAAGAAAAATCTGTAAGGCTGGGCATAGTGTCATACACCTATAATCCCAGCACTTGGGAGGCTGTGTCAGGAAGATCATTGTGAGTTCAAGACCAGCCTGGGGGAGCAAAGTGAACTCAAGGCCAGCCTGAGCTGCATAGTGAGACCCTGTCTCAAAAAGACAAAATTAGGGGCTCTGATATTAAGCCATCCTACACGACTGGCTTTCTGACCTGTGCTTTTACTGCCCTCCTCCCTACTGGGCATCACCAAAAAAGCGTTGAAGGCGTGCCAGCCTGGAGGGTGCAGAAGCTGCCTTTCATTCCTTGTCCCATCTCAGGACAGGTCTCCCTGGCCGCCTGGGCCCCCTCTCTGAGGACACACCTGTGTGGGCAGCCCCCGGCAGGTGCAGGGTACCTGTGTGTATCAGCTCTCTTGGTCTTTGTCCTCTGCGTGCGGGCTGTGCAGGGGTAATTTTGCTTTTCTGTTGACATTTGCAGAAAGCCTTCTTTGTCTTCCTTGGGGTCCTGAGGTTGGAAGGACATGGAGGGCCTCTCTGCTGAGAGTGTTCGAAATGAGCTCTGGTCCTTCGAGTGCTCTCTGAACCTTCGCTTGCGATGGGGAAGCCATGCAGAAGACCCAGTGTGGCCCCAGGGCTCTTCCCCATATTCCCTCTGTTTAGGGCACAGCCTGGTTGGTACCTACTTGGCTGTGCCAGTGTTGTTCCTGGGAGCTGGAGGCTTTCGAAAGCAGGGCCCAAAGACAGCTTTGTGAGGTGATGTCCTGCACCGTCTCCAGCTTTCTCTTGCTTCAGGGCCACTGGCCCCTGTAATCGGGCTCTGCCCACAGCCTGGCGGCAGCAGCTCATATGCTAGGGCAAGAGCCCCTGGCATGGACAGTGTGGGGCCCCACCTGTGCGGGTAGCTTGCCTGGAAAGCTGTGTGACTGGGCTGCACCTTGTGGCCCCCAAGACTGTGGGTGCATGGCTCTGGGTCCTCTGTTCATCTGGCACATACAAAGGCTTGCCAAAAGATAAACAAAAAGCATGTGTTTAAATTTTGAAATGTATTTGAGTAAAAAAGACACTACTGCCCTTCCCCCTCGGAATAATCCTTGCTTCACACGCACTTATCCCATGGTTCTTGCCATTGTCTGAAGCAGCTCTGGAAGTCCTCTTTCGTGAGGGTCCTTCTAAAGTAAAATTTTTAAAAGTACAGTATAGATGCTCCCGGTGCTATGTTATGAAAGGCAGCTCGTACACATCCTGCTGCATCCACCTTCATCAGACTGGACACCATGTGACTTCCAGCTGTTCCCCAAAGTCGAAAGGACCATGAAAGGGAAGTGCTTTGAATCCGTTCAGGACATCACGGCAGCCACGACAGCACAACGAAGGACACTTGTGGAAGAGGACTCTGAAAGTGCTTCAGGAAGTGGCAAGAGCGTTGGGGGTTAATCATGTTCAGCGCAAGGGAGGGCTTTGAGGGGCTTCGTGGCAATGTCTCTTTTACTGTAAGACTTTTTTTGTGGAGGTTCTGTTTTTTCTTTTAAAAGAATAAAAAATATGAAAAAACAATACAAAATTTCAAAACAAGATGATAGGCAATTAACAGTGGTTATTATGTTGCATATTGTTGTAAGTAGTTGTTAAAATTACCAGATACAGGCATGCAAAGTTAATCAAACAATTAAGCATTGGTGATTCCTTTTAGTAAACCAGTTAGCAGTATGATTATCTTAGCTGTTTTGGATGTGTGTATTTGTTCCCTTCCTTTTTAAAGATATTTTTTAAAAGATGCAAATATGCAGTGTATATTATGATCGCACTTTGCACATATTCCAAACCCAGTACTCCTATGCCATTGAGGTATGAGTCTGTCCCCTCCCCAAGAACCTTGGGGTCCCACACCCGGCGGGACCTTGCCATTGGCATCCTCTTTAAACACATGATCCAAGGGCTATGTCTTTAAAAATACTTTGGTTCTCCCTTTGCATTAAAGCAATCTGTTTGCAGCAGAAAATATAGAAAAAGGCAAAAGGCCCTCCATGACTCCGCCCCATGCCTCGTGACCCTACGTGTGTTGTGTTGGTGGAGGGGTCTCCTTCTAGGTCATCATCCAAGTCTGCGTTGTCTCTGCAGGGAAGTCGCACCTGGCCATCGTGCAGAAGGTGAACAACGAGGGCGAGGGTGACCCCTTCTACGAGGTGCTGGGCCTGGTCACCCTGGAGGATGTCATCGAGGAGATCATCAAGTCCGAGATCCTGGATGAGTCGGACATGTACAGTGAGTTCCACCCTCTCCAGTCAGAAGTGCAGTGTCCCTGGGTGCAGGGCAGGGAGGTAGGAGAGGACACCGCTGTCACTGTCATACCCTTGCACAGAGCTGTGGGAGCTGAGGGGCAGCTTCCAGGCTGTCCCTCTCCTCAGGGACCATGGCTTCAGGTTTAGCCCTTGCCCTTGCAGCTGACAACCGAAGCCGGAAACGGGTGTCTGAGAAGAATAAGCGTGACTTCTCTGCCTTCAAGGATGCTGACAATGAACTCAAAGTAAAAATCTCCCCCCAGCTCCTCCTGGCTGCTCACCGCTTCCTGTCGACAGGTAAGAGGCAGGGGGACCTGCTATCGATGGCCATAGCCATCCAGGAGCAGGCTGGGCCTTGGGGTACTTTTCCCCTGGGGAGAGGGTCCACATGCCTCTCTCTGGACTTCTCTGGCTTTTGCTTGCTGTTTTGGGCTGCTGGTGTGAACCTGTAGGTGTAGACAAGCTGCTTTTGAAAATAATTGCTGGGAGGCTGGGCGTCTTGGTACAGACCTGTAATCCCAGCACTCAGGAGGCTGAGGCACAAGGATTGCTGCAGTTTGAGGCCAACCTGGCCTACACAGCAGTAGTCTCAAACAACAGACAGAGAGGTGAGAAAGGAGGGTAGCACTCAGAACAACCGAGGGGTTCCTGAGCACCCCACACCCACCCTCCATGTGATGAAGTAAGGAGGAAGTGCTTGTGAAGCGCGGGATGCCCCGGCTTCCATCAGCACCCTCACCACTGCAGGTGCAGTCCATTGTAGCCGCCTTGCTGGGCGTCCATATCCATGAGCCTGCGTGGTAGGCATTATAGGGACATTGCCAAGCACTAAGAACACATGCATCCTGCCGCTAGCACACATCCACTCTGCGACATTCCCACCCTGTTTCATAGCTGTGGATCTGAGGCAGGTCACGCCACTCGACAGAGGTCACGGGAGCTGTAGAGCACCGTGCTCCATGCCCATGCGGGCGTGGACTTGGGTCTCGGGGGTCAGGGCCACCCTGGCAGGGAGGCGCCCCTTGAGGACCACTCCTGCAGCCTGGGGTGGTTGCCAGGGCCCTGAGCGAGGTCCCCTCCCCCTCCTGCAGAGGTGCCCCAGTTCATCCCCTCCCTGATGTCAGAGAAGATCTTGCTGCGGCTGCTCAAGTACCCCGACGTCATTCAGGAGCTGAAGTTTGATGAGCACAACAAGTACTGTGCACGCCATTACCTGTACACGCGGAACAAGCCAGCCGACTACTTCATCCTCATCCTGCAGGTGCATGTCCCAGCCTCACACCCCACCTGGCTTCCTGGCCCACCCCATTGTCACCTCCCCATAATCCCACCTACGTGCTTCCTTGCAGGGGAAGGTGGAGGTGGAGGCAGGGAAGGAAAACATGAAGTTTGAGACTGGTGCCTTCTCCTACTACGGGACCATGGCCCTGTCCTCAGTCCCCTCGGGTGAGTCCTCTGCCCTCCTCCAGTGAGGGGACTTGGGTGTCATGGAGGAGGGAGGCAGCCGAGAGTGTGGGTCACAGACCTGCACCCCACAGCCCTGGTCCACAGGCCAGATGTGCTTTGAGTGAAGTGTGGGCAGCAGAGGGGTGTCCTGCGGGGGCTGCCCAGGGAGGGGCTGTACCAACTTGGGGGTTGTTGGCTTTTGGCTGACAGGAAGTGGGAAGTAGGCTGTAGTGCTTGGTGAGAGTAGGATGCACCCAGGTGCAGTTAGGACAGGCAGGAGGCTGCAGGGGCTAAGACGGGAGCTGGGCCATGGCTGCCTGCCTGGGTGCATTGCAGGGGCCTTTGGGTCAGGGGCTCAGCCATTTGCTTGGGGGCCAACAGAAAGGGAACTGGGTTCCACCAGGGCCTGTGGAAGGGACCCAAAAGGGAGCCGTGGTGCCCTGTGCCTCTGCTGTCTGCCTGGCTCACATGACATGGGCCATCCCATGCCCTCTGTGAGCCTGTCACCTGAGAGGGCACTTTGCTACAGGTCCTGGGCTTTCCCTGTGCCCAGTCTGCCAGTATGCCTTGACCAGAAGGGCCCCACGAGGGCGGCCAGGGCACCATGAGTTCCCATGCTGTGCTTCCCTGCCTGGAGGAGCTAGGGCTGGGGTTGGACGTGGCTCTGAGGGAACTTGGTGGCTGTTGTCCAGATGCTTCCTGCCAGGGAGGGCTTGCCAGCCCCTCCCCAGAGAACCCCTCCCATCCAGATGGGGAATTTGGTTTTGAAGGCTTAAGGGGAAGATGTCCCCAGTGCTGCTTCAGAATCCGCACCCCAGGCCTTCAGATGTCCTTTGCAGGGATGGCTTGGAGGGGAGGTAGCTGTCCACCCTCCCTGCAGGAGGGTGGCTGTGTCCCTGTCCTGTGGCTGAGCCCTGCCTCAGTCCCTGCCCAGGCCTGGACCTCCTTCTGTTCTGCTGCAGTGCCTTCCACCCAGGTCCAGTGTCTGCCTGGCTCACAGGTGACAGGCATGTTGGGGAAGCTGACACTGCCACCTGTCTTCCATGGCATGTACTGCAGCCACAGCAACCTCACCTCACAGCCTCCGGCCCCCCACTGGGCACAGTTGGGGGCTGGCATGATGGGTGTGCCCGCTTGGCCTAGGGCCAGTTTCAGTGTGTCCCCACCTTCTGGAAAGGCTTACCTAGAGGTCCTCAGTACTGGAGCAGGTGCAGACGTGTGTACACACACACACCTGGCAGACAGATGCCCAGAGGACAGGAGGTAAACGCTGGAGATGACAGCCAGCTGGTCAGAACCCTGGCCCAGCCGCCTGCAAGCCCTGGCACGAGGATGTTGCGGCATCAGAGGCCTAGCACTTCCTGCCTGTTCACAGTGTGGCTGGGGTCTGTCTGTCCCTGCGAGGCGGGGAGCACAGGTGGGGATATAGCCCCGATTCCTCCCGTCTCAGCCTCCTCACCCAGAATCAGCACTGGGCCCACCTCATAGCACTGTAGGGAGCAGTGACAGAGCTGATGTCACAGACAGAGCTCGACTCTTCGGATTTTATTTTTCTCTATTACAAGTATATGATGGCCTTCTAGCACACGGCTGTGCTGTTTGTGGCGTGGGCTGGGTCCCACTCCTGTCACCTGTCCCAGGAGGGAACAGCGCAGGCTGGACACATTCAGGTTGCGGCTGCCGGGCTCCTGCACGCCCCACAGCACAGAGGGTCCTTCGTCACAGTGTGACCCGCGCTGCTGTGCTCTGCCTCGATCTGGAGCGTCTTTGAGCTCCTCCCGCCCCATGGCCTCAATCGGTAACCTCCAAGTTTGTCTTTTTTGTTTGTTTTGGTTTTTGAGAAAGAGTTTTGCTGTATAGTTCAGGCTGGCCCTGAACTTAACCGTGTAGCCCAGGCTGGTCTTAAACTTGTGGCAGTCCCTCTGCGTCAGCCTCCCGGTGCTGGGACAGTCGGCATGCAGCGCCATGCCCAGCTCTCCCAGTTCATCTTTCTGCAGTTGAGTTTCTCTCTTTCCCCCAGTTTGGGAGATTGAACTTAGGGCCAGAGCTCCCCAGCCAGGGTCCAGAGTTGCCCAGAGTGGGCTCCAACTTGTGCGCCCCCACTGCCGCCTCAGCCCCCCACAGTGCTGGGATTACAGGCATCTGCCACTCTTCCTAACGCTGCAGATCACACTGTGCCATTTTGACCTTCTTTATTTTGTTTTTTATATATTTTTATTTTGGCTGGCTCGGGCTGCCTTAAGGTGGCTCTGGTATGACATGTGGAGCTGGGGACTGAACTGCAGTCCCCTGCGCCTGACTGGGTTTGCCCAAGCAGGTGCTTAAACAACTGAGCTAACTGGCAAGCCCCTTTAAACCTTTTTTTTAAAAAAATAAAGGTAGTTTAGAAGAGTTCACCCGAGTGCTTTTCAAACCCAACCAATATGACTGCAAACTCCCTGCCTGTTAGTTTCATGGCCGGCCAGGAGTCTGCACCCAGGGTGGACATCCTGGCATTTTTACCTAATATGGAGTGGACGTGTTTTTCCATAAACTTCCTCCTCAGAGCACAGGGTGTTCCGCTGAGCAGCGAGCCTTCCCTTGCTGACTCTCTTTTTTTTATAAGTATTTGTTGGAGGAGTCTTACAGAGGACACCGTGACTTTAAAAAAAAAAAAAAAATTATGCAAAAATGTTTTTCTGTGTTTAAGGCTGTGCCCTTGCCAGGCCTGTTGGTGCACACCTGTAATCCCAGTACTCTAGAGGATCACTGTTGAGTTCAGAGCCAACCTGGACTACAAAGTGAGTTCAAGGCCAGCCTTAACTGCATAGTGAAACCATCTTAAAAAGAGGAAGGAAACAAAAAAATGCCCTGTGGATACTCTCAGAAATAAGACTGCCAACTAAAAGAACCCTAATTTTTAAACTATTTATTGTTTTAGGGGCCAGCCAGATAGCTCAGCGGACCTAAGTGCCTGCCTAGGCAGAGCGCAGGGCCAGGGTTCCATCCCTGTTGTGCCTGCTGGCCCGTCCCTGGGGTCGGCTGAGAGGGCGATTGAGACTGGGCATGGTAGTGCATGCCTATAATCCCAGCTCTTGGGAGGCTGAAAACAGTAGGATCACTACGAGTCCGATCTACATAGTGAGACCCTGTAGACCCTGTACTAAATACAAAAAGAAGAAAAGGAAATTGATTTTTGTTTTATTTATTTTTATGTATTTAGTACAGGGTCTCTATATGTAGATCAGATTTGTAGTGATCCTACTGTTTTTAGGCTCCCAGACACTGGGATTACAGGTGTGCGCTACCACGCCCAGTCTCAGTCGCCCAGTCTCAGTCAGCAGCGAGGCACGCCAGAGATCGAACCTCAGCCTCTGTGCAAGCAGGGTTGTTTTTTTTTTTTTTTTTTTTGGTGGAACCAGGGATTGAACTCAGGCCCTTGTGCTTGCCAGGGAAGCACATATTCCACTGAGCCATCTCCCCGGCCCCTAAGCAGGTGCTTTAATCCGCTGAGTTATCTGGCCAGCCCTGGTTTTGTTTCAATCATAAAAGTAACAGGTTTAGAAAACTGGGGAAACAAGTGGAGAAAATTACAAAGCACCCTAACTTTGTTACTCGGAGACAATGTTTTACTGTATCTTTTTCGACGGCCTCGCTCAGCGGGGCAGCTCATGCACTGTGTGGGTTTTAAATCCATTCCTGGGGTTGGGAGTATGACCTCGTGCCCCGCACTGTCTGTGTCTGTGAAGCCCTGGGCTCAGGCTCTAGTGCTGCGAAAACAACAAGTAAATAAGTGAACTCATTTCCTGTTCCTGTGCCTCGATGGAGCGGCGTACACATCAATTGCACACATCCCATCCTTCAAGTCCTTAACGTGAAGGGCCACGTGATACCCCTAATATTCAATATTCGGGGTTTTGTTGTTTCTATTTTTCCTTTCCAGAGCCTAATGAGAGGAAGCACAGTTAGCTACTGTCACCTCCCCTTTTAGTAATCCTGTTTCTTGTCGGGGCACCCACGGCCCAGTCCTGGAAGAGGCAGGCTGTTTTCCAAATCCTATAAACGAAAGGAAAAGCATTAGTCGGGCACAAGATAAAGTTACTCGACTCAGCATTCTGGGTTAAAAGCTCCAGAGGTCACTGCGCCGCTGGGTGCGGTAGGCAACTGCGCCATCTCTGCAGGGGTACTCTTTGCAATAGCTCACTATTAATTAGATAGTAACTTCCACAGTTCACCTGAGCAAACTCGGTGCACTTCCTGTTGGCTTAGACAAGCCCGCTGGCCTCCCAGTTAACTTCTTTGTGTGCTGCGTTGTTCAGCATTCTCAAGCCACCAAGCCAGTGTGTTCTGCTGTCCCTGGCCCCTTTTCTCCATCTTCTTCTTTTTTTTTTTTTTTTTATTTATTTATTTATTTTTATTTATTACATTTATTTATTGTGTGTGCGTGTGGCCAGCTCAGCCCACCAGGGGGCGGGGCTGGCTGGCATGTGGTGCTGGGGATCGAACCGCGGTCCTTGTGCTTTGCCAAGCTTGTTTCAAGTAGGTGCTTTAGACCACTGAGCCATCTCTCCAGCCCCTCTCCATCTTCTTCTGAGCTTGCGTCACCGACCTATCTTGGTCTTTGGGAACGAGGAGAGCCTGCGCTGACCCCATTCCAGTTGCTGCCGTGTGATGGGTCTCTGGGGTGCTGTGAGAGGGACTCCCAGATGAAGCACAGTCTGCAAGGACATTGTAGGGTACAACAGGTGTAGGGTGTTCACAGGCGACGGCGCAGACTGTCCCTCTTCCTTTCCTTTTTTCTTTTTTTTTTTTTTTTTTTTTTTTGGTGGTACCAAAGATTGAACTCAGGACCCTGCGCTTGCCAGGCAAGCACTTATTCTACTGAGCTATCTCCTTGGCCCTCTTCCTTTCAATAAATTATTTTTCCCCCAAGTGTACAGTGCATGTCCCTTGAGACCAGGAGAGTGAGTGACTTGTCTGTCACGTGAGGGTAATCACAGTGTCCCTCATGGCTGATAACCCATTGGGGTTAAGTGCAGGGTTTCATTAGCCAGGAGCTAGCCATGTCTTTGGTTTATTGTTTTGGTTGCTTGGTTGGTTTTGATGGCCGTTTTAGTTATCATTGTGTGACACTTAAACATACCAATCATCAGCTCTGAGGTGAGACCTTGCGCAGGGAGAGCTTCCACGTGCTTCTCTGTGTCCCTGAAAATCATGTTCTGCTTCTGGGAGGTATCCATAGGCAGGGCGAGGCTGGGTGGGAAGGTGGCATGAGCGCCAGCCAGCTTCCAGCCTGAAGGACTCTGTTGTCCCCACAGACCGCTCCCCAGCCCACCCCACCCCGCTCAGTCGCTCAGCCTCCCTCAGCTACCCGGACCACGGCACGGACGTGTCCCCTACCACCATGCTGACAGGCAGCAGCAACCAGCTGACCACCTGCATCCTGGGCCAATACGTCTCCGACTTCAGTGTCCGGGCCCTGACAGACCTGCAGTACATCAAGGTGAGCAGCCTCGGCATCCCTCTGGCCCGTGTCCTCCTTGCTGTTTTTTTGAGACAGGGTCTCACTATATTGTTGAGGCTGGCCTCAAATCACTATGGAGCCCAGGCTGGCCTTGAACTTTCAGCAGTCCTCCTGCCTCAGCCTCCCAAGTGCTGGGATTAGAGGTGTGACTCACCTCCCTTTATTTAGGGTTTCTGGGGGTTCCAACTGTCAGGCTGTGCACCAGGCTGGGGGGTGAGGCCTCCACGTGCTCATCATTGTCCCCTGCAGGTCACACGACAGCAGTACCAAAATGGGCTACTGGCCTCTCGCATGGAGAACAGCCCTCAGTTTCCCTTGGATGGCTGCACCACGTGTGTGGAGAACTCTTCCGAGAAGCCGGAGCTGCCCATGGTGGATGAGACCACAACGCTTCTCAATGAACGCAACTCCTTGCTACACAGAGCCTCCCCAGACAGTGCTGTCTGACAGGAGGGCCCGGGGTCCCCTGCCAATCCCGTGGGGGCCTCCCAGTGGGCCCGCATCAAGAGGGAACCTGTCAGGCTAGAAGGGGTGCAGCTAGATGGCCTGCAGCTGGACAGGTGACAGCCCCTGCAGGAACTCCAGGTAGCTTGGAGGTAGTGGCTGCCCAGCCCCGGGCCAGTGTGGCCGCGGGACAGCTCCATGAGCAAAGGCTGTTTTTCAGAGACAATTTCTAAACTAGGCACATTGCTCCTCTTTTGAAATATCATTTTGGGAAGGGAAGACAGGGTTAAGGAACTTCATGTAAAATATTTTTTTTTCCAAAACAAACTTTAGAAGGGGGAGCATTCTTCACCCCAGGAAGCGATAGCCATAATTTGCTCTGCTCAGCTATGACCCCACAGCCTGTGTCCCTGCCAGCCTGGTGCCCAAGGGGAAGGCTGGCTCTTGGGAGGAGGCCAGGGACCAAGTGGCATCACCAAGACCTGGAGAGCTGTGGTCAGGGACCAGAAAACCCTCTAGACCCGCGAAGCTCCCGGAACCTGCCTTGACTGCCTGGGAAGCCCCTGCCTATCGCCGCGCTGGGCTTAGTCAGCTCCCTTCTCCCCATGCCCTGCTCTCACTGTACCAAAGGCATCCCCCTCAGTGGGGAGGGCATTGGAGTCAAGGGGGACCTGTTTGAGGTGCACCCTCCAGTTTCTGGGGTGAGTTTGGTCATAGGCGTCTGCACTGGAAGCAGCTGCTGCTTCTGTGCCCGTCACCACCCGCACGAGGAGCTGAGACTTCATGGAACCGTGGATCCTGCGCTCAGACTTGCTAGTCCTCATGTGAGCCCATGGCCTCTGAGGACTGGGGACAGGAGGACATGTTAGAAGCCACCTCAGCCCACTCGTCACAGTCTTTCCTCAGTGGTGGCCAGAGATGCAACTGAGCTCTTCTTCTTCATGGAAGGATGGTTCTAGCCAAAGGGGTGCAGGTGATGTGCCCTTGTGACCCCAGGGTGATGCTGGGTGGCAACTGCACCCACCCTGCCTGTGTGAAATCTATCCTGGCACCTTTCTCTGGGCTCATCGAGTCCCACTGCAGAGCACCAGGCTTCTGCTGTGGGGGCACCAGGGAACAAGCCAGGTGAAGGGGACCCTGCGAGCTTCTGCCTGAGTGGCTCCTTTCCTCGGTTAGGGAAATAAATCCTGTCACCCCAAGAGCTTTGCTCTCCAGGGGCCCAGAGAACCCTGACTTCTGGAACAGGATGCTGTGGCCCAGTACCCCGTACCTGGCCAGGCCAGGGTCCTTCCCAGCTGAGGCCTGGAGAGCTGGACATGGTGCCATGGGTTCTCACGCATCAGGAAGTGCCGGCAGCCAAGATCCTGCCGCAGGCCTTCGCTCTGCACAAGAGCAGCTTCCTCCTGAGTCCCACTGGAGCTGGCAGGCTGTGGTCCTGAGAGTCCCGAGTGCTGGGTGGAAACCACGCCGGCCCAAACCTGGTGTGTGTGTGTGAGGCGAAGGAGCAGGCACACACACTCCACAGCTACCTCTTTGCACACACATTCACTACCAACCAACGGACGGCCCTGCCTCTCCCCCTCCCCCATTAGAATCACTTCTTCCAGGGTCATGATTATTTCCAAATATTACTGGTCCGATGCCTTCATCCTCTCAGTACAGTTCTTCACTTCCTGTTCCAACCTTGGGTTCCTGGGCTGAGCCATACCCTGGACCTGGCCCGCTGCTCAAGTCTTCCTGGTTAAGGGGGACCTTCGTAAATGGCATCCAAAAGGGTAGGCAAGTCACAGCCACCATAGCAAATGACTCCTATTTATTTTGTGTAAGATTTTAATTTGTATATTTTTGTGATTTATTTTGGCATTGTTATATGAGTTTGACTCTCGGGGAGTTTTCTTGTTTATGACTCTTGTGTCTTTTGTCACAAAACAATGATAATATTTGCTAAACAATACATGGAATTTATTTTTGATTGGTAATAAAAAATGAAATCTGTATAAATTTTGGTGAGTCTGCAGCTTGCGGGTTTGAGTTCTGTTTGTGGAAGAGACTTGCGGCTGTGACTGGCTATCACTTTGTGACAGGACAAGGGGGTAATAAAGTATTCTGAGACTACTTAGCAGGGACATACAAGCAGAACCGCAATTGACAAAAACACATATAATCAAGACTGTTGTTGCAGGAGTTGGAAAGTAGCAGCCACCAGCAGGCAGCGTGTATTTTGCTGCCAACAGCAGGAGTCCTGGAAAATGGATGCCACAAGCTTTGGCCAGTAGGGACCCGAGAGCAAATTGGCCCTGCCCCTGTCTGGGGCTGAGGAATGAACAGATTTGATGCAATAGTCAGATCCTATTAGTTGGCAGCACGAAGTTGCCTCCGTTTGCACTCCAGAGCTGGTGTGGTTTCTTACCTGGCCTCTCCTCCATAGTACTTACTACTAGATACTAAAATATAGACCTGTGTATTTTCTGTTGTCTCAGCACAAGGATCTAAGCAGGTACTTTATTCCCTTCCCAGCATGGTCCCTGCATTAGAACAGCACCAGGTACCTTGCAGGCAGTCAGTGCAGGAAGCACCTGTTCAGGCATTGGGCACTGAGATAACCTTGACCCAAGCTAGTCAGCATGGCTAAGGAGGGTCTCTTAGAGAAAGGGCCACCGAGTGATAAGCAGGAGTTAGCCAGTGGTATCACACTCAATCCTCAAAAGTATTTAAACTGAGGGTGGTGGTGCACCACTGTAATCGTCCTGGAGAGGCTGAGGCAGAAAGATCAAGAGTTTGAGGCCACCTTGGAATACATGGAAGGATCTTGTTTCAACAAACTCAAAGATACTCCTGTCTCTTAAATCCATGTTGAGCCTCTCCTTCCTGTTCTCTGGATCTGTTTGATGGCACATGAGTGACTGTGTAGGCACATGGCCACATCATCCCTTCTTTCTGAGCCCCAGAATTTTATTTAGACTCAGAGACAAGGACAGAACAGAAAGGCAAGTACAGAACAGCAGGGATAGAGTCCGGTGTAAAGTTTACATTTCTCTTTCTTTTTTCTTTTTGTCTTTGAGACAGGGTCTCACTGTGTAGTTCAGGCTGGCCTTGAGCTCCCTTTGTAGCCCAGCTGGCCTAGAACTCCTATTGCCCCTCCTGCCTCAGCCTCCCCAGTGCAGTGCTGGGATTACAGGCATGCACCACCATGCCCGGCCAAATTTACATTTTTTCCTTTAAGGAGATGTGCCATTGGAATGGAGGCTGGTCTCTCTCCCGCCGGCCTTTTATCCTGTAATTTTCCAGAGGGAGGTAAGCATCTAGAGAAAATGTGAAGAGCATGCGGGTGCAGTTGACCTGGTTGCTGCGAATTTATAAAATAGAAAAGAACTGATTATCACCTTTTAAATTTTTTCACAAGATATTCTTCCTTTTTGTCATTTGCCATGGGGTTATTCATTGTGTATTATCTTGCACATGTTTTACCTGTGGGCACAATGCAATCTTTTATTATTTATTATTATTATTATTATTATTATTATTATTTTGGTATTGGGGTTTGAACCGGGGCCTTTACACCAAGCTCTATCCTCAACCCTTTAAAAAACACAAAAAGAAAAAAAGCTGGGGGTCGGGGTTGAGACAAGATTTCTCTAGGTAGATAAGGCTGACCTCGGAACTAGTGGCAATCTTTCTGCCTCAATGTCTCAAATGCTGAGATTACAGGCAAGCACCACCACCCCTGGCTGAAAATTTTTTTTAAACTGACTCCTCCTACAGTTCCTAGGATGAGCTAAACTTGTGATCTTCTTTCTCCTTCAGTCTCCAGAGTGCTGGGATTAAATATCCTTTGAATGACATGTATAGGAAGTTTTAAAGTCTACTTAGTGCAGTACGTTTGGGAAACATTAAAAATGTAGAAAAATACAGAAACCGTGTGATCCCGACCTTCAGAAAAGCCTCGTTAGCAGTTGGCCTGTTTCCTTCCAATCACAGATCACACTCAGCAGTAAGGCACACCCCACAGTTTGCTCAAATATCCACAGGGAAGACCCTCCAGAATATCTCTGGTTGGTGCTGAGGAATCCTCCTCCCAAGGATTGGAGTTAGCACATCCAGAAATCCCAGCCAGCTGCCTTGTGTGCCTGGGTCGGAAGCCAGCGTCCTCACGGAGTGTGAGCGGCACTCCTCTCCCGGAAGGTATTAATTACACGAAGCAAAGCGAGGATCCAGCGAGCTATAAGTGCCTTGCGCGCGTGCTGGGGTGTCCTGTCCGGAGTGTCCTGTCCCAGTTCCTCGAAGGCAGGATCTAAACTTTAGCTTTGGGACACCCAGTCACTCCAGGGGTCTAATTCGGCCCTCTTGGCGCTGCACGTCAGTGGGCCAAAACCGCTCCGGTTCCCGTGGTCCTTTCCCACGAAGCCAGCAGTCTTCCCATGCTCCTATACCTCCATGCACCACTTTCGGGGCGCGGGACGCCGATCTTCCATAGCCGCTGACTGCCCAGCCGAAAGCCCCACGCCCCCGCCCCGCTTGTTTACTCCCCGGCGCAGCCTAGTACACCCCAGGCCCCGCCCCTTCCCACTGCCTATTGGTCGAGCGCGCACAGAGGACGACAACGGTTGGCCAGGGAGGCGGCGGCGCGGGCGAGCGGGGTAGGTTGCGCGGGAGGCGGAGAGGGGGCAGCGGGCGATGGCGGCGGTGGGTCGGCTGGGCTGGGTGCTCGCTGCACTCTGCCTAGGGAACGCCGCGGGGCAGGCGGTGCTGGGGCCACGAGTGCTGGGCTTGTGCCTGGAGGAGGACGGAGCAGAGGGCGCTGGGTTGCTCACGTCGGAGGCCACTTTGTGCCTGCGCCTCTTCAGCTCGGGCTTCGCCAACAGCTCCTGGACTTGGGTGGCCCCCGAGGGCGCAGGATGCCCCAAGGGAGGGCGGGCCGCGGCGCCCACGGGCGAGTGGCGCGCGCTGCTGTGCTTGGAGCCGGGAGGCGCGGCTGCAGCGGCGGAGGAGGCGGTGCCGCCCTGGGCGCTGGGCCTGGGGGCGG